AGCAGCTTTACTAATTTTAGTATGCTCTTTCTTGTCCTGGTGTCTGTTTTTTGATTGCTTCAAACGGTATCGAGTTTGTGACTAGTCACCAGTCCCTTTTTGAATTTCGGAACGGGTAATTGCCCTATTTCATTATGACGTCACAGTATGTTTACATCGGAAAACATTCTCAAAAACAGTGGAAATTTGGACCCATTTATATATTCTACTTAAGTAGAACCTCAATGTTTTGATATATATCATGTATAAATGATTGTTTATGTACATTTTATTTGAAATGTAGTCACTCTGATCCCTTCTTGCGACCATAATCCTTAGCGTTAAAACAATAGAATGTTTTGATGTGACGTCATAATGAAATAGGGCAATTCCAAAAATATTTTTGCAGCTTCTAGAAAGTTATCTCTGATTGGTTAATAAAAATTTTCTATTGTTTTCAATTCTTAGATTTTTATACGCGAAATCATTGAAAAGATCGAAAATTAAAAAATAAATCCCATCAAAATTTAGACTGCTCTATGTTGAGAAAAGTATAACATACAGTAGGTAGACTGATGGGCAGACACCGAAAGGTGTAAAGACTGTGCACTTGACATGCAAATTAGATATCATAAGCAAGCAGCCAAACAGAAAACCAAACAGTTTGTGCCGTCCAATCTTTAAAAATATGTCACGATCGAGATTTTTCAAAGCAGGAGTAGAATTTCTTCGAATTTCAACCCGGGAAAGTAAGAACTTTGATTCTGTAGCAAGAAAGGTACTTAAGTTAATAACTAATAATAATAATTTCAATAAGACTCAGAGCTCATCCATTATCCTATACTTAACATATTGTTTTGGCTATAGCAGCTATAGTACGCACATGTCAGGSGCCGCGAAACATATTTTGGATCTGGAGGTCTAAATACAGCCAAAGGCGGGAGTATTAAGGGGACCTCCCCAAGGAGATTTTGAAATTTTCGTACTGCGTAAAGGACGCTACGCGCCTGGGGATGAACTATATTTGTACATGTCAGTTCTTGTGTGGGGTTCAATGACTCTCCAAGTGTTCAAGCCGCGAGGGACGCGTAGGCTTGGCGAGATCACTAAGCGGAAGCGAAAGCCAGGTCCAATCTACCCTTTTCAAATAAAGTTATATAAGCTTACCTTTTAGGTAAAGAATTTATTCTAGGCTAACAACAAATGAAAGGTTGGAGTAGTCAGGGGAGGGGAGGGGTTTGTCAAGGGGGTGTTTGAACGAGGGTAGGGAAATTTTGCTACTAAACCAGACATGCCAGGGAGATTTTTATACAAAAACTTCATCATTGGCATTAGTGCAGTTCAATGAAAATTCGGTATTTTATCTTTGATCTCTTATTTTCTGCTTACCCAGCTTGAGTTGGACACGTTCACCAAGCAAGGTAGCCTGCGTTACATCCCGGAAATTTCACAAATACCGAAGAATATTCCGGATGTAACGCAGGCTACAAGCAAGGTCAATGCATATATCGTATGGTTGTAGGCCAAGAATCACAAACAAGTATGGAACCCTTCATGGAGGACTGACTGCTAGTCTAATTGATATTGTTACTACATTGGCAGTAATAGGTGCAACTGGAAAAACAGGTGTCAGTACAGATATTGGAGTTAGGTAAAATAYCCAATTATAGCACCTTAAATATCATCAAAGGATTCTGACTTTTCTGTTTTCAGTTTCTTGAGTGCACCAAACATTGGTCAGGAGATAATTATAGATACAAAGTGTACAAAAATTGGGAAAAGTCTTGTGTTTACAACTGCAGACATAACTTTGACAGATGGTTCACCAGTAGCTCAAGCCAAACATACAAAATACCTTATACCAGGAATGCCTGTAATATTCCCTACAGACCTACCCGAGGATGAAAGCTGAAGACACWAAAATATTTTTAGAGTGAAATACGAACAGATCGAGCCAATGCGTAGCCTCCATAGCAGACGTTCTTAGCGGTTCGATGAGAGAATTGTGATATTGTGGTTAATAATAGGCTCTTGCTTATGCATCAATCTTTAGTTTCACTGTGTTGAGCCAAACAATAGACTTCTGAATCTTTTACATCACCTACTTGACTTGCAATGCATTTTGGGATTAGTTTCAGGAGAAAACAAGAGAAGTCTGCCATGCCTTGCCCCAAACATATCCTACAATGTGAAGTAAAAGCTTCAGAGGTCTATTACCAGTAAATGTTAGAAAATTAACAAAATACCACAAGTACACCATCTTATCTCTGAAAGCACACTTAATATTATAGAAAAGACATTGGATGTAGCCAATACAACTAGTACATTTGCCTCGAGGGAGGCACTGGCCACAAAAATGGTAAAGAAAAGCAAATAAAGGAGATAAAAATGCTGTTTTCTATTTTTATTTTCTAAATGTCAAGTTTTAATTAATTTCTAGCATTATACTGCTTTTTATTGGAGTGTTTTTCATAGACTCGTAAAACATCGCATATACTAACTGAAGTTAATTAGTAATAAATGGAGACAATATAGTACAAAAGATTACCTATAATGCATTAATGCATAATATAGTGGTTGGAAAATATCAAAATAAGTCTATGAAAACCACTCTGTAGTATGCAACAGCAATAAATACTGTGCATGCTCGTTAGCRCTTCATTATGTGCAAACACTAAATGTGAAACAGCACAAATCAAATAGTGAGAAAACAAAGGAGTTTACATAAATCAATGGAACCTATCATTATTTAATTATTTAACTAGTTTTTCATGCTTTTAGTTTTTGCACTATACATAGAACTATTTAGCACAAAAAATATGTCATACTGTTTTTAYGAGTTAAGATTTTTGTACTCTATAATGTACCATTGAAAATAATTGGTTTACGTATTGACAATATAATTTAGTTATTAAATACAATCATAAAAACAATTAATGAAATGACAATATATTAAAAATAGTGCTTTTGTGATCTAATTCACAGACCTGAGAACGCTTTGAATTTCAAAAAATGCTAAATATGAAATATTGAAGAAACAGATTACCGAGTATAATTATATTTGACCCARAACAAACATTGGAAATAAACACTGCTTCAATAACCTTGCCAACCACACATGCAGTACCTAGAAGCTTCTGGAAGTCTTCTGCAGAGGTACTTGAAAAAGCTGATTTCAAAGTACTCCAAGAAGTATAACTCAAACCCTCATCTTGCACTCACTGGGAACCCCAGTTGTGATAACCAGGTTCTACCCCAAAAAGCTAGTAGTAAGTACACCACAAGAAAAATATTCTATTCAGTGAATATCAGGTGAAGTTCTGCACTGTAGTCCATCATTGTCATACTACATGTTCTAAGGTTGATGAAGCAGTGAACACACCTACTTTACTTATCATAGGCCACTTGTACAAAGAGTAAAATGAATTTTATCCACTGGATATGGATTTATCTGATGGGTAGCACTATTCACCCTTTGTATCACCTGCCTCAGTATTTCAGCATCACGATATAAAGCTCAAAAGAATAACCCAGCTAATGCATTGACATATTATTCTTGCCTTGTCTTCACCAAATAAGTGCTTACAYACCMTTACATGCACAAAATTTCTCTTTCAAAACAATACAATTATAATAGCTGGTTATACTTTGGCCTTTGTGCTAAAAGTTCAACCATGAAGAAACAGATAAGTAGGCCCTTTGGATCACATTTCCGATAAATTTTCAACACTTTCGGATTGATTAAACTCAATCAATGATTGCTTGACTGATGATACAATCATTATAAGTATCTTTCTAGAATAACAGACTGTTGTTGGTTAGTTATATACAAGTTTGTTTCAAATTGTACAAGCTGCAATAAGAAATAAAAATCTTCCTTTTGGGTTTTTATGAGTTGTTCATCAATCATATTTTTAAAAGGGTGGATACTAGCTTGCTAATGTCAAGTTCCTGTATTTGTTTTCACCACAAGRCCTTTTGCACAAATATCTGATGTAAATAGTACATAGTCAGCTGACATTCAACAACAACRGAACATCCTAAACATCTCAATCTATAACGGTTTTAAATCAGAGGGCTGTTCATATTCATAGTGCAAGTGGTTGTTCTAATTAAATAGTTAAAGCTATAAAAAGTTTCTTTTTAATGACACCTTGTTCTTAAGTTCTTGTACATCATGTGAATAAGGAAAAGTTGCTCTTCATCAGATTGCTGAAATCCTGAAACAAATATAATTCTATTAGCATTAAATGTMTTCATATAGGTCCTGGAAAACCTTAACATTCTTGTTTATATTCTAAGTTAATGGGCGGATCCAGGATTTTTCTAAGGGGGGAGGGGGAGCACTAAAATGGCGCAAACTTTTGACAGGAAATTTGCATTACGGATTAGTTTGGTGAATATATCAAATAGAAATTTCCTACTAAAATTAGCAAATTAATTAGGAGACTAGCTAATTCACTTGTTATTTTAAAAAGGTACAAGAATTTATTTTTTCCAAAAAGGGAAAATGGTCATGTCCTGCCATTTATTTATATCTCTGCATATTCTTACTTTGATAAGTTCTGTTTTGTCAGCATTATATCTATGGTGATGGACTGATAGTTGTAGTCTATTGTGATAACGTTCAAGTGTCTCTACACTACATCCTTGAGTCATTTCTACCATTTGATCCAACAGGGATYGGAGTTCCTCTCTCCACTTGTTCACTGTTTCTTCACTATGAGTCTCCATTGGTTCATACTCAACCTTTTCTTGTTCTTCTCTGTTTTTATTTCCTGGAAATAGTAACACAAGAAATATTAAGGATTTAGATTGAATCTCAAACTGTGGACAAAAAATGAAAATATGAAAATGTAGAACATTTTCATATTTCCAATTTTGTTTTCTTTCATGGGCTCTCGCTGAAACATCTCCCCCTCTCGCAAGATCATATGCTTAGAGCACAGTGTAATGTGAAGATGTAACAAAAAAATCAATAACTAAAAGCATAAAACAATATTTGGGCCTTGATTGCAGCTTTCATGATAAATCAACCTCAATATTTAGTATACTGTAACAGCTGTCATTCAATAAATGTTGACAATGATAAACTTAATATGATATCTCAGAAAAGATTAAAACATCATATTAGAGGAGRCAATATTATTTAGTATGAACCAAAGGGAATATCAAACATTAAAAGTCTACAGGAAGGATGGCCAAGGATCCACTCAAGAMCCATGAGAAATCCACACTTGATTAGATTACCTGTTAGTAAAGATTCAACTGGTAGACTTGTTAAGGTAATTGTAGCTGTTAAATGGTTAAATCTGGGTGTTTCATTGGACACTGCACCTTGTTTGTCTAATAGTTCATCTTGCTCCTTGTCTTSKTGATCATCTGCTTTTCCATTCTGTTTTTCACTGAGCTCGCCTTCCTTGTTCTCTGTTTCTCTATTCGACTCCTGATTGTATGATTGACTTGTGCTAGCATTAYTKTCAGTATTTAWAGCCAAACTGGGCACCATTTCTGTTGTCYTGAACAAGTCCTGCTTGTCTTTACTACTGTTACTGGAATCATCAATGTCTCCATTCTGAAGGCAATCACTGCTGCTACTAGCTAATGGMGGGCTTGGTACGCTGGTACTTGGGTTATCAGAATGACAGCTGTCATGATGTTGTGAATTCTCATCAGGCTGTTCTTTATCTTTATCAGGATCATCACACTTTTCCTCACCGTCTTCATCTTCATCTTCATCTTCAGCCCCCTTGGTAGATTCATTCTTACTGGTGTCCATTTCATCGGTCAAGGTCTTTTTCCTRTGACTRCTGCGTCTCTTCAGTCCAAACCAGTAGGATTTCTTTCTTCGTTTGCGTTTCACTTGGAGTTCTGTGCTAGGTTGTGAGCTATTTTCTTGTACAGTGATTGCTTGTTGTTGATCATTAGSTGTTGTGGATGATGTTTGTTCTGGTGTGGAGGTATCTTGGRTCTTTTTATTGCTTTGTTTTGGTAAAGTATGGACATAAGCAGGTAGACAAACTGGTTTTTCACCTATCATCAGAAGTAAAGGATAAGATCACTGAAAGAAATACTAAAGTGATATTAGGTGAAAACTAACCTCTCTGTTGTCTTGCTGTGATGATTTCYTCACATGCCTGAGAGAAATTTAATATCGTATACATATTATTATTTTAATTTAACAAAAAAGAATTTTATTAGTCCAACCATAAATGATGAAAATGCTGAATAAGATTTGTGAATTCAATGTGATAAAGTCAGCAATGTTGAATGGGAAATGAAAAATAATATTTTACAATAATTTATTTTGRTCTTTACAAACAACAATGTTCATTATGGTGAAAGGATCCTAATTCAACAAAACAATATTACTACATGTATATAGTATTACTTTTAAACTGTCACCATGAGAGTGAGATAAAAAGTACAATTTTAAAAAACTATCAAAAGTACATTTATCTACTTCAAACATTGATTCAGTGACATTACCTTTTCAAATTCAGGCTCAAGCTGTGAGGTTATGACRGAGTGTGCAGTATCCCTGAGTTCGCAAGCCCTGTGACGAATTATCTTATCTAAAGGGTCAATATCAGGATTATACTTCAAGGCATTACTAGTAATGAGGTCAACATCTACTAGGTACTCGGCACATGTATTATACTGATGACGGTCAATCTTTTGCATCATGATGGAGAGATCCATAGGCTCATCAACWACATCAAGATAATCAGGTACCTAGAGAATAAATGAACAAAAAAAAAAAAGTTGTAAAATACAATTTCTTCATATTAATCATAACAAGATTATGAAATGGCTTATTATTGTGCAAACACTAAAACCATAAAAAACATTACTTATTAATTTCATAGTGGTAAATTTTCCTGAATTATCTAAATTTGTTTGTTTTCTATTGTCTAATCTACACTAGGTTGCACTAGTTAGCAATATTTTTAAATTAAAATTTTTTAAATGCTTTTTCACACTTTCAATGTTTTCACTTTAGTGTCAACTAACCTCCTCTAAATCTACAGGTTTTGTAAATTCTTTAAATCTTCGATCCACAATAAGCTTATGGTGGATGTCCCTAAGGAAGATGCGCAGTTCTCGTAATGTGTTCTCCTCCACTAATTGAACTTTCTTGATTTCTGCTTCAGAAAGTTGTCGAGGAGCCGGWGCAGGAGCGATTGGAAGAACTGGGAGAGATTTTCTCTTTCCTAAAAAAAAACAACAACAAAAAACAAAATTACAATTTGGGAAGTTGATATCAATTAACTTTAGTATCTAATGATCACTTACCAGATTTCTTGAGTTTGGTGGTTTGTAGAGTCACTTCTAAAAACAGCTTTTCAAAGAAAGCCCTCCTTTCTTCTGCATTTGGGACACCAACATAAAGCACCTAAAAAAAATGTTACAAATGTTACAAATGTTGAAAGAAAATCATGTTTTTCTGCATTTTGTCATTTTTGGGATTTCTTAGATGCCCAAGCAGTCAAAACATCAATCTGGCATTCCAAAGTCCAACATTAAATGTGAGGAGTATTTAAATTAAGAATTTATTGAATAGTGAGTATGTCTTATTGTACCTGATTTGTCTGAGTTGAAAACAGCTTTTGAAGTTCTGAAGGTAAAAGCCTGAAATGTGTATCTGTTGTAGCTAARAGAAGGACAGGACACAAAGGAGGAAGGTCTTGTAGCAGAGAAAGAAGAGTGGCRTGTAGACTTTCTGTTGTTGCATACCACAAAGAACTGATATGTGGCATGTAGATGACACTTGGCGAGGATCGTCTTGCTTCTCTGAAAAGCTAACATACAAGAATGTACATTATTTCTTATTCTTACCATCRTAATTATACTTTTGAAATTGATCAAGTCCCATCAGAGGAATTACAGAAMAATATGCTTCATCTGATATATAGCACTTCCTCGTATTCTAAGTTATCCCTGCATGATTGTTGCGAAGGTGGAAAATCACTGCAAAGTTGCAGCCAATTTTCAAGCATGTTCTAAATTCAGGCAATGGTTACATGACAATTGCCGAGAGAATCGCTCTGCAAAAATCGAAAGTGTAAACATTACTTCACAGTATGGAGACCATGTTTTAATCTCTGCTAGACACATGCTTACACTAATTCATGACGTAATATCTACAAGAAGTGACAGTTTATCTTAACTATCAGAGAACCACTATAATTAACAAAACAAGCCATACAAGTACATAATATATTTTATTATCTTCAATACCTGTGCACAAGCTTCTTCTGGAGTTCTTGCTGTAACACCATAAAGAGCAGGAAGRTCTAATGAATAAACTGTCAAGTGTTCAACACAGTGTAAAACAGCRGGAGCAAGGTGTGTGGTTTGACCAGCTCCTTCCTCTCCAGCTAACAAAAACCTGGGTCGATATGCAACAGGATCTTTTGAAAAATCATCATGGAAGTCAAACATTCTTTGTCCTGGTGTCCACTGACTGTCATTAGTTGAGTCAAATCGCCTCATACGTCGCAAGTATCGCTCGCTTCGACTTGAAGAGGAAGGGTAACTAACGCTTGAGAGATCATATATGCTAGGGAAGTCATCGTAWTCATCATCATCAGAACTGTCATCATTGTCATGATGGTCAGTTCTTGACCCTACAGCAGATGTCAGTGTAGATGAGTTTTCAAGCACTAGAAAAAAAAAGAATACATGGTTTAGATATGTTAAATGTTGCCAGGCTCTTAGTGCTTGAAAATAATTGAAATTTATAGTAAGTTGTGATTAAAAATAATCTAATGGAGGTTAAAAAGACTCTATATTTCAAAGACATAAACTTTCTTTCACACCTACAGACAATCATTCACAGGTATCGATCATTGCACGCTCAACAGTTGTCTTGCTTCGATGCAAAGGCACAGCTACCTTTCAAGATTGGGCAGGGAAGGAGAAGGAGACTATTATTATTTTGTAAATGCCATTTTCTACAATGTATGTATTTCCTCATTAAGTGGCTTCTTTCTACAAGTATAGCTACGTTCAGTCTTCATCTTTCTGCAAACTGACATCTTTGTAGCTAAAGAATGATGCTTTGACTTGTCAAACAAACATAAACTTCACCAGAAATAGTCAGTCCACCTTCTCATATCTTCTAAATTGTTTTGCACTGTCCAACTTTACGATTTAAGGTATAACATACCTGTTTTAGTATTCGCCTTTGGGAAAATGTTAGTAAGGAGATCTAAAGCCTKGTCAAGTAGACTTTGAAGCAAAGGTTTGACATTCTCTGATAAAGCYCTTGCAGGTGATGCTATAGATCTTTGGAAGGCTGGAACGATAGCTTTGGTAGCTTTRAAGAAGTCTTTGTAGGTGACTTCTATGGAGTTAACATCCAGCAATAACTTCTTATTGCTAGTGTACACCTGTGGATAACGTCTTCTAAGAGCTGATAAAGCAGCTTCTGTACAAAGGGCTTTAATATCAGCTCCACAGTACCCCACACAGTAGTCTGCCAACTCATTAATGAAYGGTTGGGAAGGCTTTGGTTCCCATTCTCTTGTGTGTATGGACAATATGTGTCTTCTTGCCTGAGAGACAAATATATYATCAATCCAAATATAATTGATGTACAATATTAATAAATAAATCACTTATATTATTAGTCGAAGTATAAGACTTTCCTTATTGTTCAAGACAGTGCAATATATCTTACTGGGTAACCAAAAATGYATTTTTTCGTAAAATACACACTTTGATAAAAATCAAATGCTTTTTCAAACATAATTTTCTCAGAATTGTGAAGCCTGTTAGTATTACCTCCAAATTCATGCTATTATGTTTTGATGCTATTCATGTCATGTGCACCTTAAGGGCTTTTCAAGTGCATTTAAAATTGAAGTTTCATTTCTAGGGCTTTTAAAGGCATACAAGGGTTTACATGAACCCTGTATTTCCATCGCCCCTGATTACTGAAAATGTRAATGAATGAATAATAAAAACATGAATGAAATTTTGAGCAAATGAATAACTACCTGTTTATTTGGTAACGGGAACTGAAACTCCCTGTCAAATCTACCAGGTCTTCTTAATGCTGGGTCAATAGCGTCAATGCGGTTAGTTGCACCAATAACTACCACCTCCCCTCTGCTATCAAGACCATCCATCAGAGCCAACAATGTAGACACTATAGAGCTATGAATCTGGTCTTGACGACTGGACCGAACTGGTGCAAGACCATCAATTTCATCAAAAAAKATGATAGATGGCCTCATGCTATATGCCTTAAAAAATAGGGGAAACAAAAAATAACAATTAAACAATAAAGTAGTTGAATTGAAGGCATTATGCCCATGGAAACTGGATGTTCTAAAAAACAAATAGTTGTCCAAGAACTGTGGTCTTTTCATGATATATGATGGTTGTATCCAGAAAAGTGAAGAAAGTTCAGAAAAGTTGCTTGTAATTCAATTTAAATTTGCCCTATACTCTGTCTAAGGAACAACCATTTGCTTAAGACCCTTTCCTCTGAATATGGCCTCATGAGCTACCACTTTGCAGTGCTTAATTTTTTGGAAGTACAGCTGAAGTAAAATTTCCAATTTTTGTAAACAAAATCTAGCATGCATTATGTAAGGTGCATATGATGCMAGAAGTAAACTGGTCTTACTTACTTGATCAAACAGTAGTCGTAACTGTCTCTCAGATTCACCAACCCACTTACTAAGACAGTCAGCACCTTTACGCATGAAGAATGCAACTTTTTGATTCCCAAGACTGCACTCATTTGCTAATGCTCTAGCTACTAGAGTTTTACCAGTACCTGTTGACATTAATATACTAAGATAAACAATCCGTGTGACATAGCAGTTTTATGAAGCAGGGAATTCAGATAAMAAATAAAAGTGGAATTTTTKGAGGTCATCTCAACACCATCTGTGGACRTCAATAATGTTTGTTCATGAACATTRTAATCTATGCAAAARCAGCTGACTTGATTAAAACACTATATGAAAAATGCAACAATTTTTTTTCTGGTTTACCTGGTGGTCCATAGAAAAGAACTCCCCTGGGTGGATTTATTTTGAATTTATTAAAAACTTCTGGATACATWAGTGGGAATAAGATCATCTCTTTCAGTCCTTTGATTTGTTTTTCCAGTCCTCCAACACTATCAAATTGCACCTAAAGAGATTTAATAAAAGAACAATCAAACCAGTAACCTTTAAATCAGAGTCATATTTGACTAATTGACTTGGATATTCTTGGCTTGCAAGTTACATCATCACMGCCATGTTGGATGAAGATCACAAAGCATTCCTCAATAGTTTCTCTTGTTCATTCATCCAACATGCAGGCGATAGCTTTGTTCTTTATTTCTCAGGGGATTCCTGGTCATGAGGTTGCAGCCCAGGAATATGCCATAAAAATAACATAAAACTCATAATAGTTAACATTTCTGGTTGATAAAGGCCAACCTTGGGATTCCTACTATTTATAATAAACTGGGAGCAAGGATGAACTAATAAGTATGCACAACAAATTASATAAAAGTTGTTTATATAGTACATCTCTGACTTTCCATGATTAGATCTTTCTAGAGCTTTTTACTGCATTTGTGTATAAGAATTAAGATGATAAGTTTTAGGTATTTCTGGCATACTAATGCCTAATTTCAGAATTGATAACTGTGCATACTAAAGTACTAGAAATAATAGTTATACTTTACCTTTTTGTCAATGGACATAGGATCAACATCAGCTAAACTAGAGCCAATTTTATCCCTGTCTCTAAGAATGCCTTTAGATATGTCCTCAATYGTGAGATTGACTGGGAGGGCCCTCATTCTGGCCTTAGCAGTACTCTTACTTTTCCTCCTCTCAAACCTTTTCTCTTCATCTTCCATACAAGAATCATCTAATAGAAAAACAAACAAAAAAGTTTAAACAAACATAAACTCCATAGAAAAACAAACAAAAAAGTTTAAACAAACATAAACTCCATGGGAAATGACTATTGTTCCACATTTTCACAGAAAGTTTCTAATCCTGACCTCCTAATTTTCAAGGACACATTACTTAAAATACAATAAAACATTTGATTTTATTGCCACATTGATCTACCTGATGATGTAGAGGAGCTCATGTTAATTGCTTTGCGTTTGTGCTGATATCTTCTAAGGGGTGATGTGTGAGGCGGTGGATTACGGTGGATCTTCTTTCTAACAGCTAAGTAGTCTTTTTTATCTGTCAGCAACAAAAAAGTTAACAAATTAAAAAAACTTTGTTAAAAAAATTTTAAAATGGATTTCAGTAACCAGTTACCTCCTTTCTTGTGTATAGGAGGTGCCATATATCTGTTAACAACTGGTCTTCTTTTTCGYAGCAAGTATTTATTTTCTTGACATTGCTGGTCATCTTCCTCTTCTTCATCCTGGCTGACGTCACTTTCATTACCATCGTTGTCTTCATCTCCTTCATCGTCACCATCACCTTCTTCTATACCATGATCCCTTGGTATTTTTTCAGGGGTTGGGGTTTCGTGTCGTCGTTTGACATGGTCATACATGTTAACATGATCGTTGCCCTGAAACAAATTTTTCATTAAAAAAATCAAAATAATTTTACTAAAATTTACTTTGCAATTCATAACTTAATACTTTAAAAAAATCCCACTGATAGAATAAAATAAGGCAATTATTGGTCACCTTTGAAGGTTCTTAAGAATGGTGGGCTTGAATGATGGAGTTCATGTTGCAACTTTTTAATTAGTTAACAATCAATGTGTAGTTTATGGTTTTCAATGTGACTTGTGTGATGCAAGTTATATAGGTTACACGAAACGACACCTATTTCAGCGCATTGTTGAACACAAACAGGCCCAATCGTCAATTTACAAACACTTTAAAAACGATCATGGCATTACACCAGGGGAGTTTTTCAAGTTTATTTAAAGTTATTTTGAAATGCACGAGCAAATTTAATTGCCTTGTTTACGAGATGTTGTACATACAATCTAAAAAAAACATCTCTTAATGTTCAATCCGACTCCCTGAGGGCCAAACTCTTTGTTTAGACATTTTTATGTAAATTTTGATAAACTGTTATAAAAATCAACTACAGCAAATAAAATATATCACTTGAGATTGAATGAGATCATGTCGATCTCGAAACGTCGTAATTTTTTGTCTTTGTCGTTTATTTTATTAGTTATTTCCAAACCTTTGCTGATCAAAAAACTTTTTAAATAATACTAAAATTCAGAAAAACTTTTTTTTTTAACTTTCTCTTGTTTGACTGAAAATTTTAGAACATAGGCTGTAGCTGAAAAAAACTCCTACATAGTCAATAGATTTGATTAGAGCTGACRCACCCATGAAAATTAGTAAATAGTAAAAAATAGTATTGAATTGTGCTAATTTCTTTGTTTTCTATTCTATAATAAACATTATTTAGTAATAAATAATAATATTTGTTCTGCAGATTCAGCGTACCCATTCTACTTATGACTGTGAATATTTTGCACTATTTATAAATGTATAAAATTTGGTTTTGTTGCCTAGTAGTATGAAATAGGCAGAAATATGACCAAGCTTAACCCCTTATGGAAATAAAAACCATTAAATTTATATTATCTCAATTTAAATATTGAAAGAATTAAACTGAAAGTARCATAAATAAACTTYAATGGCCRAAACCATAGCTAAAAAAGCTTCGGCACCTTAAATTTTCGCYAAACTAAATTAGTTTCATTTGTTTACATTSAATGCGGAGGTTTTGGCGCCAAAAAATAAAATGGCGGCAAATTCAAATCGGRCTACCCCCTGCGTACCTCAAAGAATTCGTCCTCTTCTAGAGAGCGCTGTTTTTGCTTTTTCTTCAGTTTCTTTACCTCGTGAATGGGAAAAGTATCAAAACTATGGACATAGCGGTGATCTGTWAGCATGTTTATGTTCAAAGTATCGTAAACTCCTCGTCTCTGGCGAGCACTTCTTCGTATAGATGGCTCAATAAGATCTTCTTCTTCTTCAGAAATCCGTCTTCTCCGCTCCCTACCCTTTTCTGAAGAAAAGAAAACATCTAATTAAGAACAAATGCTCGATTTATAGTAGAAAACTGGTGTTAGAAAGCTCAAACGGCTGTACATACCAACAGATTTTGTACACGATTTTGAGACATGCTTATCACGTAGTACCGGCGGCTGCGTRTTGCTTGCCAAGATTGCCTTGGAAGACCTTTTMACAAAGATAAAAGAAACATGTAAGTTACTGAGTTCATTAAGACTTTAATAATGTGAAATGAAAAAGCATCGTTAAAGGACAATGTACCGTAAATTATGAACACCGCAAAGTTCATTTTGCTTGGACTTTGAAGATGTTTCATGGCTTCCTTTGTTATACCGGAGACGTCTCTTTGACGAAAAAGGCGCCGATTCTAGTCCGCTTTCTTCACTCGACTCATCCTACAAAGAAAAAACAATAAAACATTGGTACAATAAATACCTAATTCAATTCTTAAATCAGGAAGCAAACAAAAAACACGCTGTGATGCTGCAACTTTTATAACTTCTTCAATTTCGGATCATCCCCTACCACTTGGATCTTGACGGCTTTTTTAACCTTTCCAGGGACTTTCTCTTCACTTTTAGGTGAAGTTTTCAAGGCCTCAAAGCTTTTTCGCGTGTGGACCATACTGAAGTCCTTCTGCTACAAACAATCATAGAGAAATAAAGCATCAAACGTCGTCTCTAAAAATTTCTCTCCTGTGACCATTGTTGGTGCTGGAGTGGCTGCATCAAAATAAGGGTTCCCGGATGTACAAATCCCASACATACTTTGCGCGCAACGTAAAATGGTATGAAGGAAATAAAACATTTCCTTTCTCTTTTTCTCGTTGTTATTTCATCAGTCATTTATGATAAAGTAAAAGAATAGAAAAAAACGAGAGTACGTGTATTCTCTGGGCACTTTTCATTTCATTTTATGGTTTATCGCACTCCAGGTTCTTCTTCGCGCGCCGCAGTTTCTGCCGTTGAGCGTTTTTATTCACTTTTCTTATGTAAGCTTATTTACTTACATGTTTTGTCAATTTCTTTGTTCACTTCTTCACTAATTCAATTTTTGAACTCAAAACAACCGAAGTGAAACAGTTTCTCTTTTCATTCTAGTTTTGTCCCAGAAAGAAAAAAAATAGTGCAAAGGAGACTAATTTGATATTCAATGATAAGGTACAATGTATTATAGATAACATAAGAGCAAGTCATTCTCTAAATCAAAGTATGTCATTACTTGCTAGCATAAAAAAAATATTTCCAGTCAAGTGCTAGCATAAAAAAAATATTTCCAGTCAAGTTTTTATCTTTCTTTCTTTCTCACTTTTTCCTTCCTTTTCTATAGTTTTAATTCCACACTCAACATGCTCAACGCCCGGGCTAAACGCAGCCCGAGGGCCTATGACCTTCATGTGACCTTCACTGGGGGTGACGAAGGGGAAGCGGTAATAAGTAGGTCAATCCCTAATTTTCTTGGCAGAAACTGTTAAAGCGGTCGGCCGTCCACTTGGCATACTATGTCGAAGTGAAAACGTTCTGACAACATTTCAAATTTTATTTTGCTGGACTAGACRGCGCGGCTGTTGTTTTCCGCGCATCATTGTTATCGTCAAGCTTTATGTTACAAGTGTTAAGTTTKGGTGCGGGGAGTCATGCTGTTATGCAACAAAACACTTGAGAAAAGTATAAATAAAAAAAATCATATTTTCAAAGGAACACATGACACTAACAAAACAAATAAAACAACAACATATTAACGATATAATTATATTGTTCTTAATTTTATTCATAATTGATAAAAATCTTCAATCAAACTTCTATGTGTATGCACATATTTATATTTTTCTATTCCACTTATTTAATAGAAAGTTATATCCAACCGTACAACGTATTCCTGTTTCAAAAATTTTTGAATAGTTTTCGATGGAAAATTTACTTTATTGATAAGTAATGTAAACAACATTTATCATCCAAATTACAAGGGGAAAAAATTCTGTCCTTCAGTAACGGCTCCAATGATACTTACGGCTCCTTTGCAAGGAAKCTTGAAAAAAAGACTGGGACCCATATCAGCAGAGTGCACAATAAATAGCGCTAAATAAGCAGACATCTGGCATTTGATTGGAGACATTACCAAGAGTTACAGCTAATTTGTGAAATGTCAATTAGCTATACCTATGGTGCTAACAATTACCGTTAATTACTAAACTAAACTGGTTATCTGTTTATTTCCAAAGAAGAATGAAGTCAAAGAGCCAGTGAAATAATTTTTCCAGTACAATGCTCTAAAATTATAATTGTTTTCTTTTGTATCGATTTGTGAAGTATTGCTTGACAGGTTTAATGACATTAGTCTGTATTGTTCGCACTCTAAAAACTGGAAAACGTTGTACAGTRTTTATGAAAAATGTTTCAAATGGTCTCTCTTCAGTCTAAATCGGAAGCAGTAGCTTTTTTAGAGAGAATCAACACAAATTATTGAAATACTTTTGCCAAAGATATTCTTTTCACACTGCTAACGAAGATAGCTTGTTTTTCCAATGAACATGAACTGATATCTCCTTATATTTTCTAAATGTATTCAATTATTATATATTCAGTTAACTAAACCCAAAGTTAGACATATTGCGATTATATTTTTACATGGATACCTTTCTTAATATTTGACATTTTAAAAGTATATATAATATATATAATTATTGAATTTCGAGCCTTTGTTTTTTAGCAACAAAATCTTGCTGGATTTCTTGAATATTTTTTTAAAAATTGCAGTGCAATGTACAAATACATACATGGTTTGAAAAATGCATTTGAAATTTTTAGAAGTTATTACGTGTTCTGTACAAATAGTTGGATATGTTTTGACCTGATACCTTGCTTTCCTCTATGCTGGGAAATGAACAATAGTTGTTTTGCATTAATGGGTCTTGTGACCAGAACTCCACTAAATCAGCCATGACAAAATAAGATTCAGAAATAGAAACCAGGTAAAATAAGTAAAAACTGAGTCAAGCTCTCATTGTTAAATGCTGCCAAGAGCTTCAAAGTTTAAATTTAAACTGGAATTGGTTGGAGTTGGTTTTTCCTAACAGTAACCTCTATTTTCTATTTCTGTAGACCATTTTGCCATAACCAACTAATTTAAGGACAGCTCTGATCAAAAAAATGACCCTTTGGGATACAAACAGTGCTTCATACAGTGAACAGATAGCTGGCCAACAATTTTTGAGAGATTTTTCTCAAACATTTCTTCAAAAAACGAAAAAACAAATTCCAATTTTTTAATGATTCTCAAAATGGCCMAAAAAATGTTCACAGGATGAAGCACTGAGCTACATGGTTGTATATCCAAAATAACAAGCATTACAAGGAGATAATTTTCTAAAATATTGTTGGATAAATGAAAGGGTAAGTAATATTATGAAACAAAACCCTTTAAAGAGAGCATGCTGAAAAGAAATGAACCTAAATGACAACTGTATTCCTTCTTGTCTGTTTTCTGTTGTAATAAACAGATATAACACTAACTGCTGGAATTTGATAGCAGTATAATACAAGCAGTATATGAGTCAAAACATCTTAAAGTAATACCTTCACCCCTAAAGAATTCAACAACAACAACAACAACAACAACAACAAAACAAATGAAAAATACTATGGCGCACACAAATACTTGTAAAGATATCGAATGATTTCATACATAAAACATTAGAGAGCACATACTGACACTTGTATTGGTATTGAATAATTTCGTGCATAATGTTAAAATACATGTATGTCATGATGTTCAATGATAATCTAGTTTCCGTTCAAATTCAGATAATTAAAAAATATACATGAAATGTTGTATTTCACTAATTCCTTTTTGTGTGTTCAAACAATTTTTTTTTCACATTTTTTGATACACATATATCAATGTAGGAATGCATATATTAGTTTTCCTACTAGCACAATTCTGACTAATTTTAGAATCAAATATGGTTTAGAAAACAGACAAGAAGGGAGTATACAGTAGTTTATATTATCAATAATGGCATTTCTATGAATGTAGGAAGTATTGAACTGGATATGATTCTACCGACGTCTACAAGTGACCAAGGTCCAGTGCATGGTGAAGGTTGATTAAGTCTGAATGGGCACTCACTCTCCAGAATGGAAAACCCATCTAAAATAAAACAGTACATATTCATTTATAGTCAGTAATACATTAGGAATATTCACTGTTTTCTCCATATTTTCTCTCTATTGAGCATAGCTAAAAAACTCCTTTCTGAGCAGCTTCCTCAGTGCTGTCTCAAAAGGTAGCCACCATCATGCCTTTGCATCAAAGTAAATGGGTGTTCTAGGTGTGACAAAAAGTTGTCTATTCCTGTATTAGCTCATACAAACACTATCACATCATTGCAAAAGGAGGGCTATCTTTAAATGTTATGGAAACTATAAAAATAAAATGCAGCAATAGAAAAGGAAAATCAAACAATTGATTGTATAAAATAAGTGGCAAAAATAACAAATCAAACATGAAAGAAAGAAATATTAGTCTCAGTAGACATAAATATTTTTACCTGTTTACTTGCTGCYTCTTCATCTCTACCATCACCAACTACAATGTATGTACACTTTTTGCCAAAACGGTTGGCTATTCTTTCAAAGCAGCTTTCTTTACCTTAAGAAAGCAACATTTATTGTCAATCAATGTTTTCCACTTAGTATCAAAGTGTTCTGAATTAGATTTTTTGCCAAGAATAAAGAATAATTCATTATTGATGCTTAACAATTTGCCTCTTTGTGCAAAGGCAAAGTACCTACCTATCTTCGCGGCACTATATATATTTTCAATGGGAAATAATCCTCCCAATCCATAGAGTAAGCATTTTGCTAATGCTGGACATAATTGAGTTGTTGTTACTAAAAYATTCATGCAATTCGATCTGAAACAAAAGTAATAWATTGTTTGTMAGYACCCTRCAACAATTGTATTTACAGTATGCTTAGACATGTATAGTGATTAAAACTTTGGCAGGCAAAGCAATGAAAAATAGAGAAAAACAGAAGAGCAAAACAAGGCAGAGCATAGCAAATAGTATCATCAAACAAGAAGCAAAGAAAAGTAAATCTACATAAACCTAAAAAGGCAAAACCCCCAAAAAAGCACAAAACAAAACAAATTGAATGTAATGACRACCTCTCATAATAAGACATCTACATATGTGTCTTTATGGCATTAGTTACATGAAATCCTGTATTGTAATAATGCATTATGAAGTCTCCATTGTACCTGGAATGTATGAGAGTAAGAGCTTTCAAAGCTAATGTTAGCCATGAATCTGTTAGTGACTCCAATTCCATGCGTAGTTGTAACCAAGTCTCACGCTTTGCAGGACCTAATAAACCTAGCAAAGAGGGAGCATATTTGAACAAATTACAAAATGTCATACTTGCAAAAACATGACCATTGCACTAACCTCCAACATTATTTCTAAAGCTGTTATAGACCTCCTTAATCTTTCTGTATCTATAAGCRAGCTTACGCATCCAGTCAACACCGCCACGMACACCAGTGGCCATGCAGAGRGTTGCTGACGTTGCTGCAGCATGAAATCCATCCCCTTCRAAGTTATATGTACTGTAATGACAAAAAAAAATATATCAATAATAAAAAGATATTCAAATTGTGTTGAATTAATAGGTCACAAAGGTAACCCTGAAAGTTGCAGAGTTTGAAGATATCTCTTGTTTTACATGCCTGATAATTCTTACCTCAAATCAAGACCATTATCATCTGCAGCAACATCATCTATGTGAACTTGATCACAGTCCTAATAAAACAGAAACACAGTTTAATCAATACTACAAATAAACATACCATTAATAACAAAAGTGTATTTACTACTGAACCCTTAGTTCCTTATTTTCTAGTTTTCTTGTAGTTTTATTCAAAAAAATGACAAAAATGAAACAGATAAGATAAGTTGTTTACAATACTTACTTCCAAATCATTAAAAAACAAGTGAGAATCTGCAAGATTAAAAATCATTTCTTCCATACGAAGACCGAGAGATACACTTGAAGGAGCATCCTACACAATACAAACATAAAATGCATAAAAATAAAGTGGAAGATTGGACTGCACGTACATGTTGCCGTATTTCTGAATGCTAGAATGCATACACTGGCAATGAGATTTATCATTCACTGATAATGCCACTTCAAACATATTTATAATCAAATTTGTGGAGGAGTATTGCCCAAACAATAATATGATTATTATTCAAGAACGTTGACACCTCACCTTCCCAAATTTTGAAGCAAACGAACCAGTTAAAAGCGAATGGAAAATAATTATTGTTTCATCTAAGTCCCAAACAAATATGCGCTGTAAAGAAGAYCAAATTCATCATGAATAATGTGCAACACTTTATGATTAAGACGATGGCAATGATATTGACAATGTTGACATTGTTAAAGTGCATCATATCAAAGCTGATGATATGATAATATTGCTTTATTTATTGTCTCAAAATACAAACCAAACTAAATTCAACAGGCAAGATTCCTGGATTATATCTAAAAATCCACTGAACAAATGAACAAGTTCCATGTTCATTTAAAACACACATAATCAAAATAATTATTTACTTACATCAAGATTATGATCTAATTCAGGAGGTGGAGCACTAGTKGATCTACGACCACGTCCACTACCTCTACCCCTACCRCCACGYCCTCCTCTTCCACGTGCTCGATTATTATTATTATTTCCACCTGCCACGATGACACCATCACCAAGTCCAATGACTTGCGAGTCRTCTGGGCTGCCTCCAATGAGTGATGCATTATTTAAATTGTCTTGAGGTTTGCYGGGCGAATGAGGAGGACTGGGACTTGTGGATATCGTAGGTGAATAYTGGACAACTAAACACAGATATGACCAGCACAATGGTTAATAGTGGTCAGATGTAACTGTTATATAATATCATATACTATGTTGTTCCTTTATATCAAATTYTATTATCATTTATCAACAGAGGAACATACTTGATATAAATGCAGTAAGCTTCCTAGATCAATGAAGCAATGTAGGAATGTTGAATTTATTGTTTGGGGCCTGAAGGGCCAAAAGGTAAGATTTCAAGCAGACTACAGCCTGAATTGCTGGACAACACAGGAATCCCAATCCATTAAAAAAGCATATAAACATTTTTTGTTTTATTTGATTTGTATCTTATGCAGTCCTGTGAAGTCCTGAAGTGTGAAACCATTTTAGTTCTTGGTTCTGTACAGTCTATTTCAATCAAAATACACATAGTTTTACATTTGTCCGAGGTTGAGTTCATTTAACATTTCATGAACTGTACATCTGTACATCAAAATTTCAACAATGTTCCACAGACTTTTCCTCAAATTTAATAGAATTTCAGCTAAAATGCTGCAAAATAAGTTAACTGAGCTTACCTGACGTCATAATACCGCTATCAGATACAGTCTGATTAGGTACTAATGATGTCAGCTGGTACGTACTTGCTTGCCCTGCGACTGTATTTGGTGGTGGCGTATTGTTCATTTGAGTGATATAAGTGCGTGGAGAATATGCAGGGGGTGGTGCATTTAGAAAACTATACGCATACCCTCCCCCTTGAACATTRTTTTGTTGACCATATCGATATTGAAAAGTTGCTTGCCCGCTCTGCTGGGGTGTGTAACCAGTTGTAGTTGATGCGGGAGCAGTAGTAGATGCGACATAGGTAACTGYAGAAAACTGCTGAGGGTAAGTCGTGTTAAACCCAGTCTGCCCTTGTTGGATGACGGTAGAATATGCTGTTGTTCCRTAAGGAGAGTTGTAGGGACTGACAGGTTGTCGTAGGATTGATATATCAGGTATAGGCCCAGCTTGGTTTTGATCTGAAGTCGTGGTACCTGTTTCACTGTTTGATTTTGAAGGTGAATTACTGGTAGGGTACCTGACAGTCTGAACCAATGGGAATCCAGACTGTCCCCCTGTTTGAGAGTACAAGTAACTAGTGCCGCCTGTCATGCCTGTTCCTTGTATTACCCCTCCCCCTGTGGAATACTGACTGACGCCATGCTGCGGTGGAGTTTGAACAATATGTGGATAAGAACGCTGGCTAAAGAATCCAGATGGGTTTGCAAGGTACTGTCCAGATACCTGGAATTGTGAGGTGCTGTCAGTGTTATTCATAGCTGGAACACCATACGCACAGCTGTCAAGGTTAGTGACTGTGGTGCCTCCTTCACTGTACTCTAAYGTTGMTGTAGATACCGGAGCAATGACGTTAGGACCACCTACACCCAGRTCATTAGTATTTCCAGCTATTGATGTTTCTACATCCCAGGAGTCTGCTTTGTCTAAGTCAGGGGGGGTCATTCCATGRAGAACTTTTGATACGCCATTACTGGTAGGCTGTTCTGGTGTACTGGCTCTACTCGAGTCTARACTGCAACATAAATAAAATATAAACATAAAAACAAAATAATAAATGAATTGAAGAATGGTTAGGAAAACAAATGGAAACAGATAGCCTGTGTACATCCATTCTCATCCCTCCCCCCCTTCCGGGAAAATTTCTCTAAGAATTTCCCCAATAGGGAGGAAGGGGTGGGAACTGATGTACACAGGCTAGGAAACAGAATGCAAGAAAAACAACTTCCACTATTATAAACACTCCAATTCCAGTCCTGAAATATCTTTAATAACCAGAGTAAATAGATAGGAAGATGGATGGACAGCCCAATGGTGAGGATAAATAGATAAACAAATACAACATTACTTGGTAGCTTTTTAAGTGTATTTACAATAAATTGTGCACAACAATTGGTTAATTCTCAGCTGTTCAAATTCAGAGGATTATAGCCTGAAAAACTCAAGACATTAATTACTAGGAAAAGAAAATTGTTTCAAAAATCTCTAAGCATATAAGGATGTTATAAGGATTAAAAAAATACAATTAATTATGTTGTAAATAATACATTGAAAATATGTTGTCATATAGGTCAAAGTTGCCTGAAATGTATTTTCACCAGTACTTTAGTAA